GAGTTACAAATCTTAAAAGATACATCTAATTGTTCACGATATTTTTCTGATTTCTTTATTATTTCATGTTCATGGTCTTCATTTCAATTGATTTTATACATATATTGAAATTGGTTGTCTAAGTGTACAAGATTTTCGTTTCGTTCAACATATGAACAGATCCAAAGGAAGTATGAACATCGAAATCATCAGCATGAACTTAATGCGCTTGTACTCTATGTTCATATCTGCACATATGCACCACTATTATTGATTTTGAAAATGTTCATATTTGTGCATCGCTTGCAGTCTATGAACAACTTGTTTTCATTGCAAGACACAATCGTTGTTCACACGAACACATGGATGATGTCATACGGTGCATGCCATTTTCGCTGCCTCCATGTGTTCATGTGATCAGCGACTGTGGTCGTTCACACATTCAAATGCAGTGTGATCATAACGGAATCAGCAATATGAACAGAGTGTGATCATAAAGTTCAATATATAATAGGAACAGGGAGGGAAACCCAATTTTTTGACCAATTTACCCTTTGAACAATTGTTTATACACATATCAATTAATACATTAATTAAATTATTTATTATTTAATCTCATTTAATAATAACCGTTTGATGATAAAATGAACGATCAAGATCGGTTTGCATAGTTTGTACCATATGGTTGGTTTCTATTTGAACCAGCCCCTATATATATATATATATATATATATACATATATTAATCTATATTCTTTTCGGATGAAAATAAGAAATATTTTAAAAATTAGAGAACTAACTTTTTTAATATATATTTTATTTATCAATAGAATACAAATACAACTGAGTATATTCATTAGTGAATATATAATATATTCATTGATAAATGTACTGATCAAATTTATATAGTGTTTATTTATCAATAGACACCATAAAATTAGTTTCCTAATTCTTAAAATTTGGTACCTGAATCTTGTCTTATATATTATATGTTGTAAAATTTTATTTAAGAAAATTCCTCATTAAAAATGGAAAATATAAAATTTATGTTTAAACAAAATATAACTACAAATATTTAGGATCTCGTCGTAATGGATAAAAGTTGCGGTGCCATAGTATCATTTTGTTGAATGCCTTTATACTTTTTTGAAACTACAATATTAACACAAGTTTATTGTAATAAAGTGAATAATATAACTGGTTAACTTTGATTTTAAATACTACTTTTATCTTTAATAAGGTATATTATTATTTTATTCGGTGGCAATTATGTAATTTTTAACTTGTTTGTAATTTATTAAATGAAAAATTAGTTGAATACACTAAAATTAATTTAATAAAAAATTTAAATTACTAAAATTCTATTAGATAATGAAATAAATCAGAAATTATAGACTTTAAAATTGAAGAATTATCTTGCAAATATTAAAATCTTAACGGAAAAAAATAAAATGTTGGTGAGTATTTTTAAAATAGTGCAAAAAAACATTTATTGAAAATTATTTTATCCAAAATAAATAAATATAGTTGTTAATTCATTGACAAACATCTTTTTAAATTGAAACATGCCGTTGGTTGCTATGCTATACCCATACCCATACCCATACCCATGGATGTGGAATAGCCTTTTAAAATCACAAATAACTATTCTCTTTTCATATGTTGTTAATTTGATAAAAAGGCATTTTTATTTTTTGATCTTCTAGTCCTAATTATCATTATATTTCGTTGCAAATGTTGTCGTGTTAATTTTAGTTTATGATGCACTTTAAGTTAATTGAATTTAACTTTAAGTTAAAAATTGAGTATCTCTCAAGCTTATCGAGTGGAGTATTGAGTAGTTTGACTCGTGCTTGAATTAAGTGTTGATCGAATTGATGTTGAATGTTCATAATTTAAAACCAAAAACAAACATGATCAATATATTGTATTCATTTGGGTTCTTATAAAATAATTCCAACATTCTTTTTAATAAAACTATAATTTAAGTTTACCAATTTGAATTACAATCAATATCAAATATTTATAATATTAATTTTGAATAAACAAAATGTTAGATATTTGATTATAAATTTGTTTTTGTCAACCAATTCTAAAAACTTCATTACAATATATACAATACAATATAATATAAACAAATAAAAAGTTCAATAAATGTTTTCTAAAAAATTACAAGTGTCATAGCATGCTTTTTTAATTTCATAACAACTTAAATTAATTGCATAAAATACATCATAATATTTGAACAAAAAGTTGATTATCGACATGTCCTACACATATGTAATTCTTCTCTAAAAGAGGTTCTTGTTGGGTTTTTATCAAAACCTCCACTCTGGAACTCGAGTTTTTTTTTTTTTCTTTCTAGTCACAAGTTTTTATAAAAACCCGAGTATTTGAACAATTACAAGGTTTCTTGGCTAATTTTTTATTTATTGTTTTCTAACCAATGTTTAAATAAATATATAAAACATATAAGTTAAAATTGAAAAAAAAATATAAATTAATCATTTTAAATAGATTTACTTATTTCGTTTTATTTTAGTTTTTGTAAATTTTTATACAATTTTTTTTTTAAGTTTGAATATTTAGTTATATTATTATGCTTAGATAATTTTCAATATATAAGTTAGTTTACTGGCGATATGTATTACTGATATTTATTTAGTGTTATTTTTATTAAGATGAGTATTTATGTAATGTTATACTTTTTTTTTTTTTTAATTATAAGGCATTAATCAAATAAATAGTTGATTTAGAATTATTCTTTTATTTTCTTAAATACATATCATTATCATATGAATCTCCCCTCCCCCCCTCTCTCTCTCTCTCTCTCTATATATATATATATATATATATCTATATATATAATCTACATAATACTAATCTTTAAACAAAGTTATATTCTATAAATAGAAAATGAAAAATGAGATTTTCTTATAAGTACCTCCACTGTAGAGTTTTATTGAGCCTTTTGTTTTGTTAATGCAACAATAATACGATAAGGAAAACAAGGTTTTTGGAGGTTGTTAACGGCAAAGGGTTGTAGATCGAATCTGAGACCTATATTGTATTTGAATAAAATAATTTCGTCAGACCTATCTTATATTTGAATAAAATAATTTCGTCCATAATACATCAAAATATTAAATAAACCAAAGTAAATATTAGTTTAATATAAATTGCCATTTTATTATTACTTTAAAAAACATACTCATTTGTATCTTAAGAATATATATACAACCCACATAATTTAATAGAAAGAATTAACTCATATAATAAAATAATATTGGTTGGTATCCATTGTGCACTCACGATCGGATGCTTCTTCCAATTTGACAATTAAAAATAATATACACTATTTATTAACTTACAAGTTTCATCCCTGAACTATGGATCAATTGCAGTTTTAGTTTATTAGGAATTTTATTTTGCATTTTGATTCGGTAGTCAACTTTATCATGGTACTCAAAGCTGCAGCATTCATTATCTTCAATAACTTTTGTACACTCCAGATGTTAGGTTGTATGGTGGATTTACCGTTTTAACGATTGAACTTGAAGACAAGTTGGTAGAGAACCCATATGGGGAAAGTCGAACTTGGTAAGAACCTAATCACCTATATCATATGCTAAGGTGGAATTCGGTATAAAATGTCATATGGATGCTAAATATGTAAAAACAATGATGATAAGGTCATAGAAGGATTTGAATCTACATGAAGTTTGCAATGAATACAGTATCTCACACAAAGTGAAGACCTAAATGGTGGCAATTGCTCATTTACTTGTTCTCTTCATCAATAAATACTCCAAAAACACCCAAAACAATAAAGAAAACCCAAACAAAAAGCAAATAAAATCACTCAAACTTATTATATACTATGAATCTAGTATCATTCACTAAACAAACACAATATGTCTCACTCGAAGCTAGGATCTAGAGGGTCAGATATCCACAACCCAAAAAAGTAGGGAGGTTGTTTATGTGTGACGCACAAAACAAAACTGTTGAGAGGGGTTTCTTGATTAAATTCATCAGATATATATATATATATATATATTTGCAAAGTAATTGTGCTTTCTCTAACTCTACCATATAAAAACACAAAGGTAAACAAATCAAAAATACCAAAAACTCAAGCGCAATAGTCAAACCACCATGATTAGTTCTTTTGAATTTGCTTTGATTCAACATACTTTTTCTATTTTGATATTTTGAATTATTAAAACAATGAAGAAAAGGAATAAATTCAGAAAAAGAAATACGGGTTTAGAGACCAAATTGATATGAAACCATTTATCGTAAACCAAAAAAAAAATGCTAAAAACATTTCAAAGGACTAAACCTGCCATTAGTAAATAGTTCAGGGACTAAAACTACTCGAGACAAAAAATAAAGAAAGCCTGAAAGGCTACCGCGGGAATGTCGCTACAAAGTTGGAACATCCGCCGAATCAGCTTTGTTCGCCAGAGGGAAGAATGTGTGCAAACTGTAATGAAGTCATAGCTGTAAAATTCACAGCGCTAATTTCTGGATATATCCGCTCTACAGGGAGCAGCTAATTTCTGGGTTTTATTTGCCAATCTCGTTCAAGTTTACGATTCCAAAGAATTGAATGTTTTTACATATATGTATGCATCAAAGAAATTTGAAATTGTTTGATGTTTCCACATGGGTTTTGAGTTGATCACAATAGGAAGCAAAGGGTTTCCAAGTTTTTGCATAATCTGAATTCAAATTTCAGTTCTGAAATATTAATGGCAGAAGGGAAAGAAAAGGCAAAGAGATTGTATCAGGTCTGGAGAGGAACCAATGTAAGTTTTGATACTTGCAAGTGTCTTAAACTTTTAGGTTTGATTTTTGTGATGATGAAATGAATTCCTATTTGGGTATTGGAAACTTGGTGTTATGATGTAATTATCAATTTCCTAATGGTTTTTCTGAAACTAGGTACTATTTTATTTTCAAAAATTACTATAAGAATAGGTGTATCAATAACATAATTGTTTCTTCATAAGCATATTACATTGTTTTGTGTAATTTTAATGAAATTATACAGTTATGGGTTCAGATGTTAACATTTTTTCATTCAGATTGTTATTTCCGTTGTTTTTTGTCCCAAATTGACCATTCTTTTTAGCTACTATGACTGAAATTGAACAAAATGATGGAATTGATATGATCAGGGAATTTGTTTATTTGAGGATGTAATTGAAAAAAAAAAGGTGTAATTATGGTTGTGCTTTTATCTGTTTTACCATATAAATTGGGCAAATACAAATTTCAACTTCAATGTCAAGAGACAATAACTAATATAGAATGGAGTGTTAACTTTGTTTTTACATTACTTAAGTTGTACCCTGCTTGCTTTCTTGAGTTAGATCAAGAGTCCCAAATTGTGTTCATCTAAACTGAAGTTTCTCAAAGAAAGTTTCGACATCAAATTTGTTGTGAAGTTCTTATTTTTCAAGAACATTTGATAATGTTAAACTGAAGCAAAACCCAAAGTAGCAAAGTAGCAATTTGCCATTTTGCTTCTATGGGCTACCTTTTGAATTAGAAGATTGTCCTTTGCAATAATAAACTGTTTACTTTTAAGAATAAGTTGCTTTCTAATTGCATATCCTACCATTTTTCAGTGAATCTGATTGGAAAGTTAGCAACACCATGTGCTGTGCCAAATGAGCAAAATCCCACATTGGAAAGTTGAGGCCTTTTTGCCAAGAGATTTCAAACTTCTGAAAAGTATACTAGAATTAATTTTTTTGCTTGGTGTGTAGCATAGCTGTTAAAAGCGCACCAGAGGCGCATAATGCGCAAGAGGTTAGGCTTTTCTATGGTCGAGGCGAGGCGAGCTAAGGCGCTGTGCCTTTTGGGTCTAGGCACGCCTCATAATTCAGACTGAAATCTGTGTTCTTTTATACAAGTCTTCTCATCTCCTAGACTTGTACAAAAAAGATTTGTCATCTCACACGATTAATACACCAAATCCCTTATAAATACAGCCAAAACCCACCTCATCTATCATCTTCTCACACTCGCTCTTCCTCTCTCTTGATCGTGTACCAATTGGCTGTTGTTCCCTATTAATCGTACCTCTTCATTAAATAGGTAACATACTTGTGATGTTGATGATGAGGATTGATGAGTGACTACTAGTCATGACTTTATTCAGCTATGTTTGATATTAATGCTATTTGAAAATTGAAATTGAACTATATTTTATATAATGCTATTTGATTTATTATGTAGCTGTGTGTGTGTGTGTGTATATATATATTTTTTGATAAGATGCTCCTCGCATTCCTGAGGCCCGCGCCTAGGCCTCAGGACCCCTTTGCGCCTAAGTGCGCCTTGAGCCTTTAACAACTTTGATATGTAGATCATGGTGTCTATTTTCTATGCACTAAAACTTGATTCTCATTTCTTTCTTTTGCTTTCAGAGATTCTTTTGTGGGGGACGATTGATCTTTGGTCCCGATGTGGCTTCTTTGATTTTGACCTTAATCCTAGTTGTAGGCCCAGCTTTATCCTTCTGTATTAAAGTTTACCACACCATCAAAGTGCACGAGAAAGATCACAAAGATGGTCGTTACTGGTATGTTGTGCTGCTTGTGGCAGCAGTTCTCACTTGTCTGGTAAGAAAATCTAGCCTTTGTTTAATCTTATCCACAATTATTTGGTGTTCTAAAAAGCATTAAGCGGTGTTGTACAGTCGAGTGACTTTCTAGCCATTAATTGCCTTAGCGGGATTAAACAGATGTGTAAATGGTTCATTTAAATTTATATGACAATTACTTTTGTATTACATAAACATTTGAGAACCAAGTTTTCATACTATATGTTTGAATAGAATTACTTCTGTAAACATCTGATTTCATTAAGCATTGGATGTATTTACGGAAACAAGGGTCTTTATGGAAACAATTTCTCTCTGCGTACATCCTCCCTCCTCCCCCCCCCCCACAAAAGACCTTACCTCCGTGTGGGAGTGGGATATATTGGTTTTGTTTGGTTTCTCTCTTCTACTCCAACTAGTTCTTTCATCTCATGATCTTAAAATTAATTATCATTATATTGTTTTCTTTTTAACCTCAATGATGTCAAGGGTTATAAGCTGCATCTTGAAAGTGAACCACACTCAAAAAGATGATATTTGTTTATTTTGCTTGGATGATCCTCAAGAAACTGTCAGCTCTAAAAAAACGAAAACATCTGACACCTTTTTTGTCGTCCCACAGGATATATTGTTTCTTTTCTTGACGTCGAGTAGAGATCCCGGAATAATCCCACGGAACTCAACACCACCGGACTCTGAAGAAGCATTTGATATGAACACCCCTTCAATGGAGTGGGTCAACGATAGGACTCCTCATTTGAGATTACCAAAAACTAAAGAAGTGCTTGTGAATGGTCATTCGGTTAAAGTTAAATACTGTGATACGTGTATGCTATATCGTCCTCCCCGTGCCTCACATTGCTCCATCTGCAACAACTGTGTTCAGAGATTTGACCATCACTGTCCATGGGTTGGTCAATGCATCGGACTAGTAAGTTCATCTGTTACTATCAGTGTTCCAAACAGCTCGCCATAACAGGCTCAAGGCTTGTGTCAGACGCCACGTTAAGCCTGTGGCACGCCATGGCCTAATGCGCGGTTTTTGTAACGCGATAGTTGATTTTTCTTACCTTGTTTAATGTCTTTAAATTGTTTAATATCATTGACTTATTGAGTAATAGTAGAAAACATATATAATATTATATATGATTTAGAGATTTGCCGCCATATGTCACACCTTGAAAAACATCATGGCTCTTAAGGCTTAGCCTTGCCGCCACGCCTCACGCCATTTATAACCTTGTTTACCATTAATGATTTATTCTGTTGAAAATTGTTTACCGATGTTGTTGGGTCTACATTCATGCGATTTTAGGCCTCAAAATTTCCATTGGTCACATTCAAGTAGTTATTTTGTAAGTTGGAAGTCTTCATGGAAACAACCTTTCCATCCATTGGGTTCCCTTGGTCAAATGACCTTCAGATAGGTCTTTTTTAAAAATCCATGACGTTCTGACAGATTCTGACAATGCCACTGCATAACAGAAGAATGTCTCTTCCAAACATAAGAAAGCCTAGAAACTTGTCAGAAGGTCATGGATTTAAAATCATTGTCAGGAAATCATTTAGCTCCATAACCCTCAAGCATCCTATCCTCTCTAGGCCAGGCCTCATTGTGGGATAAATTGGGTTGGTTTTGGTTTTAAACATTCAAGTAGTTATTTCTGCTTTATGTTACAAGTGATGCAAGATTTGTTTGAGACTTGCATGGTTACGTTCATCGAATGATAATGGATTTCCTTCGTTATCTTCTTGCAGCGTAACTATCGGTTCTTCTACATGTTTATATCAACATCAACCATCTTGTGCATATATGTGTTTGCATTTTCATGGGTCCACATTGCGCACCAGGGCCCCTCAGTTTTGAAGGCTATGTCACAGGACGTCTTGTCAGATTTCCTCATTGTTTACTGCTTCATAGCGGTTTGGTTTGTGGGTGGGCTCACAATTTTTCACTTTTATCTCATGTGCTCAAACCAGGTGATCTTCATTTTAAAATATTATAGTATGATATATGGGTGCATAGTCTATAAAATTATGGCAGTTTATACATTATATAGGTAGGGGTGGGTTCATTTGAGAACCGAGGAACCAATGAATATTCATAATGAATTACATGAACATTCATAATGAATTACATGAATATTCATTGATTCATTATGAATATTCATAATATTCATTGGTTCCCCGGTTCTCAAAATAGTTACGGTTCTCAAATGAACTTTCCTTGGTTATATTTTGGCACTTACGAAACTTTGCTCTTGATACAGACAACTTATGAAAATTTCCGATATCGATATGATAAGAAGGAGAATCCGTATCACAAGGGAATAAGAAGGAATCTTATAGAAGTGTTTCTAAGAAAGATCCCTCCTTCACTGAATGATTTTCGGGCTTTTGTGCATGAAGATGAAAACATGGTGATGGAGCCCACAGGTTCGGATCTTGTACGTACCTCAAAGGAGAAAATCGACATTGAGATGGGAAACAAATTTTCAGAATTAAGTGGGATTTCACTGCCTGAAATTTTACAGAATTTGCGATATGATGAATTGGAGGGTAACTCGAAAAGCAAGGATGGGATTGTAGACTTAGATCTTCACCCATCTCCCTTTCTTTTTGAACGGAAAGAAGATGATAAATGTGATGAACTAATAATCGCTCATGAAACCGAAACTGTTCATCAAGTATAGAGGTAACCAAATCTACTCTTAACTATTCATTCATTGAGGCCTTGTGTCCAATATCACCATGGTTTGATTCTATCTCCGTCCCTCCAAACATGTGAAGACACATCGTTATTTTATTTCATATGCGTCATATTTTTATTTTCTCTCTTGTATAAAGTAATGATTTTCTGGTTTTTGGTGGTATGTGTTGGAAATATGGTACTGAGATTTTATTAGATTTTGCAGGTTTGGGGTTCAAATTATTGTTTCTTGTGAATGTAGAAGATGAATGCAGAAGGTTTTTGTAGATGAAACTGAATCTGAATGCAGAAGGTTTTTATAGATGAAACTGAATCTGAATGTGGGGGCTGTTTTCAAAGCAAAGCAAAACAAGAATGTTGCCATCTGTGACCAAAAAATATTCACTACATTTTGTTTATTTTATTTTATTCTGTTTCTATTTGCTTAAATTGGATCAGATATTTGGTATGTATGTTTTGTGATAGAATTTGCTGTGACATTTTATCTGCTTTGTGCATTCAAAAATCTTTTGTTTCCAAGTCTACTCTTTAGTATATAATATTTTTATATAGCAAAACCCGCTATGCTTCTCATCTTAACTCTCCTTCTCACATGATCATCTGCCTACATGAATTTACTTTCTCTCTCTTCCTTATATGTATTCATATGATTGGTGGACATAAATGAGACATGTAAATTTCGGACAATGTGATTTAATTCTATATTTATTGCATGTTAAGTTAGATGTATGATAGGTCTGGTTAGACAAAATTACAAACAAAAATAAAAATAGATGAACACACATTTTCCATACAGATATGAAAAGTCTTTTAACATATTAATATTTTGAAACAATTAGAAAATCCATAGATTCGAGATTAACTGAATCAAACTTTATCAAGATTGAGTTCGATGATGATTTGAGTTCGAGTTTATAGGAATTTGGCTTGAAATTCTACCGACTTTTTGTATGTGTATGTACTAGTTGATGACTAATATAAGAAAAGTAATGTATATTTTTTGGGACGAAATGGAAATCATATTATCGAGCATATGTTTGTTGGATATCTTGAAGCTACTCGAGCTTTCAAATCTTCATTGCGTCAAGCACAAGCTTGTATCAAGAAATCTCACCGAGCTATCAAATCAACTTCTAACTTAGGGTTGTTTATTTACAGCTTAATGAGCTTAATGGTCTGGGCTGCTTACTCGCTCAGCCATATAAAGCTTTTCTTTGTGGCTTAATTGTTAAGCCATGAAGCCAAAATGGTTATATGGAACAAGCTAGGACCTCTGACTTGTCCCCATCAAGCCATCTCAAACAAATTAATACCAGAAATGCCCTAGAAATATTCCAACCCTCGAACCAATCTGTCTCTCCTCTGTAATGGACTTCATGAGTTCTTCATCCAATGATATTCCTCTATGAACAATGATGGTGGCTTGGTTTTGAATCCAATGATTACGTATTATCTAGACATTTTGAAATCAATACTTGTGGTCGAAGCGGACTTTGTAGAAAGACTTCAACAAGGAAATGATCAAGAAACAGAACAGATTGATCAATTGTTTAGAAATCAAATCAAGATCTTGAATAACAGAGTGAATTTGTGAAATAATTCAGAAAAGATACCAATCTCTTATCCCTCGAACAAAAAAATTAATCCAGACAATTTAATCTAGTCTAGTCTATCTCAAGTTGACTTGGCTAGTTTACAACACTAAGATAGGATTTTGGCAATCCATAGATCAATATGTCTTATCATCTTGCTTCAAACTTGGGACCGAGGAAATGGCATTTAGACTAAAGTAAGTTGCATTTCATGCATTGTGAGATTAGTACTAGATACCTAAATGTTTGAAATCTCATACACATAATACCATAATGAAGGTTTTGGAAATGCGTTATATAAATAGGAATCAGACCAAAGTATGTTACATTTTTATGCAATTTACCAAAATAATAATAACGATACATATATTTATATTAAATTTACAAATATTATATTTATATAAAATATAAAATATAAAATTTACAAATATTATATTTATATTTATACATAAGACAAAAACCAAATAAGAATCACAAAAATATTGAAAACAAGTTTCATTTTAGGTTAGGAGGATTCAAGCTAATATTCTCATATTATTGAACATACTACAGAAAAAGAGATAATACTGTTTGTTTCACATGTGAAATTGGTTGGTTTTTTAGTTGTCATTTGATTTACCTCTTCCGATTACAAGCATCATCAACGAAACCAAGAACAAACATCAAAGTTAACTCAGCTAACGCCAAGGTATTACAACACAAAAATGTACATCACTTCAAACTACTCCAAATCAAGCCATTTCTTACCTACTTATCGGGAACGCTAAAAACGAAACACAAGGCGTCCAGAACAATGTCTGTTAACAAAAACAAGAACTCGAAACAGCAGGCCTTCTCTACCTTGAAATCAGAGGCTAGAAACGGTTTCTATGACCCAAAAAAAGAAATGACAAGGAACAGTGGAAAATAGAACTAAGGTCTCTGCATAACATTGTTAGAAAGGAGAGGAGGTTGTTCTTCGGAGTTGATACTTTGTTTCCGGAGGCGGTACACTTGGCAACACCTTCTCCACCTCCTGCAAAAAACGATACAATTATAAGAAAATTAGGAAAGATTTACGCTACACAAAATCAAACCCAGTAAATTCCACACAATGGTAGGATGTACTCAAATCTTTTCTCCACCAAAGGGGTAGTGAGGCTGTTTTCGTGAAGCCCCTCAACTTAAACAAAACAAACCAAACCAAACCAAACAAACACAGTAAATTCCACACAGTGAATAATGAATGTATGCACACTTTGCCTCTACCCCATGGTTAGATAGGCTGTTCCAGTATTGTAATAGTTGTAAAACATCATTATAAATTATGGCTCCTTGATTATTCACTTGTGAATAGATCATCAGAACAATGTTCAAGATCAAACAGATACCAAGGGGAAGAAAGAATAAGGTATATTGTCTACTTCATCTGTATCTATTTTTTTTTTAAAAGGAAAACATCCACATTCAAGCAAAAGGTTTTTTGTTGTTGTTGAGGGTCCTAGTATGCAACACACCAATTCAAAGAACATATAATATATAAATACACATGCATTTAGCCTTCTTATTTGAACCTCCCACTATACATGTATTTTATAAGAAAATGTCAAGTTTTTACAAAAAGTGGGAAAATAAAGTAAACTTACATGCTATGTATAGTTAATATCTTTTCATGCAAATATGTTTACATTGTTTAAAGCAACGTGTTTATATGCATGCAAAATTGGCGGTATGTTCTATGGCAGCATGGTATATATGCATTCAAATGGCATGTTCAAAGTATTTTAATAGCAGTTTTGCTTGTATTGAACTATAAATGTTACCCTAGAAGAGGGGAGGGGGAATTGCATAGTTAATATCATAAATATTTCTCGACTTTCCTCCCAAACATCAAATTCCATCTCCCCTCCCAAACCCAACCCAACCCCGATAATAAGAACCAAACTAACTCAGTAAATCTCATGCAAATGTAGGGTCCGGATTGACTCTATCCCAAGGGGTAGAGAGGTTGTTTCACCCCCCCGACTTGCAAAACAAAAATTAAAACGAAACAAGTAGGCAGACAAGAAACATAGGAAAACTAAGGCAAAATCTCTATTGGATGTAGGCCCCCAATAATAAAAATGTTAATGTGGTTGGACCCCTCTATCTCTTTGTTTTAGCTCTTAGATGAGATGATCAATAGACTTATATTTAGCAAGATCATGGTTCAACTCTTCCTTTTCATATTTGTACCATAATGTATGTTGTACATATATTCCACTTTCTTTGTTTTATTGCATGTCAATGCGGTTCTCCACTTACAACCTCACTTCCATGTGAGGGATATTTTCTGAAGCTTTCAGCTTGAAGTTGCCTAGATGATTCAGTTGTCTGTTGGAACCTATGATCAAGGCCACCCTAGTAAAAGGACCTTAAGCAGTTTCTTTTCTATGAAACCAGGCTGCAACTCACAAAATAGAAAATCGGAGTTGCACTTCAGTTGGGGGTAAATCTGTCTATTAAGTTCTATATGGATAAAGCTGCCTGTGTAGATTAATCTGTCTATATAGGTTGGGAAGGTTTTTGTTTGGGAGAGGTTTTTCCTAGATGGAAGAAGCATCTTTTGAATTGGGAGAGACAGGTTTAGAAAAAAAAACTTCGCTTTCTGCATAAAGAGTCCCCTAGAAGCTTACTGAATAAGCCACTTTCTATATCATTAAGCCACTACCAATCAGTCATGTATAAATGACCGAATAAGCTGAGTCTATTGAGCTCATTAAGCTGTTAACAAACAGGCCCTAGGCTAGGTCTCGCTAAGAAAATAACAAATCTTTGACAAATAAGCTTTAGTGACTAACTTGAAGGCAATATAAACCCTGTGAATACTCCTAATTCAAAAACATGGGTTTGATTCACACTCCATGTTCTGAGAAATATTTACCATCCGAAAAGAGGAAAAAACGGAGTCTTTGTCTAAAGAAATGCGTTGAGAAAGGGCAGATGTATAAGTGGGATGGGATTGATCTCAGAATGACCTAAAAATAAGTTGCTGATAAGTATTGACCAAGAAGGTTCAGTCAGACACAAAAGGCATCATGATTACATCCCAAACACATTATGGTCCAAGAGGCATCAAATTCAGGCACCCATTAAGGAATTGCTGCTAAATTGTTGATCTTCCCTTAGAACATGATAAAAAATACCCTTGACAGAAAAAAAGCCATATACCACTTAAACTAATGAAAACAAGGAAGATGAAGATGCAAAATATACAGAACAAGAAGTAATTTCTTTACGTTCAATTCCTCTTGTGGGTTTTACATCATTAATAGAATACAAAAGTTCAGCCAGTGCCCAGGACCATGAAAAATACAAACGGGCCATAACTCAAAAGAAAAACCCTATAAACCAGAACCAGAACCAGCAACCTTCAAACCTAAAACCAAACACATAACTGGCCTGCAAAGACTTTTTTAGCGAAAAGGTCTATGAAAGCATTACAGTATTTATATAACCCTTTGGTCCAATTAACCACTTTTCCTACTCAGAAGCTAACTGACTGACTTCAACAAACAACTGAAACGTGTACTCGGAATGTTAACATTAGTGAAAAACAGACATGTCTATAAAAAGATATAGAACTAGTCGAAGGTGATGATGAAAAGGCTTGACCATTGCACCATTAATTCAAGCCTAAAACGAGCTTCAATAATTCAAACTAGTTATGAAGAATTCAACTCATAGTTGATAAGGAGCTTGATCAAATAGTTGGTAAACCTAAACAGGCTGTAAAAGTGAACTCCTATATGATCTATCTTCTACTTGAACTTGAGTCATAATTTATGCAATACTTTCTTCGTTTTATCAACCGATTTCAACCCCGAGTAGTTATGCTTACTTTCTGGTCTCACAACTAGGTTTCAGAATGAACGAAGAGAGTTACATGAAGGAATGATAAGTCTCCACTAAAAGAAAAATTCATTTCGTGACCAATAATGACAGTGCTATCAAAATGAAGGATCAAAAGACATCGTCATAATGACTTTGAGAGAGAGAAGGCGGAAAAAGCAGATATGTATGTCAACTTATTTAACTTATAAATGGATAGGTAGTGTCCACAAACAACAAAATACCCATACACCAAGCATGCAGTAATAGCAATAACCGTAAATTCATTGCGCCCAAGGTATATAGTCCTCAATGAGTATATAAGCAATGTATTTTCAGAAACAGAGATACCTTCTGCCTCCTGAGTCTTTCATTTTCCTCTTCCAAACGTGAAACTTTGTTCTCCAGCTCATGGGTGTAAGCCTGTTCAACCATACAGCAGTTTCTTATCACATTTTTACAACAGGGAAAGAGAGAGAAAACGGTACTGTCTGGAATCACAAAACACAACTAAAAATTGAAAATTGAAAAACATACCTGTTTTCTTGCTCGTGAGCGTGCAGCAGACTCCCTATTCTTGATCATTCTCTTTTGCCTCCTTTCCACAGTCTTCTCAATCACAACTCCAGATGCAACTCTTTTCCGTCCAGCCAAGTGTGCGTCTGATAAACCTCCCATCAAAGGGGTAGGAGACATTGTCATATGTGTCTCAGGATAGCCCATCTCCATCACTGGGTTAGCAGCGATAGCGAGGGACGGTTGAACTTGATAATGGCCTGGCATAACCACATGCTGCTGCTGAATTGGAGTAACTTGGTATTGCATCCACTGTGCTTCTTGTGTATCTTGTGACCCAATTGGTTCAACTCCTATAACCAAAACCTGTTTTTTCTTACCAGGAGAAGATTCGGCCACAACCCCTGCCTTCACCAAAAAGTCCTCAAGTGTCATCTCACCAAGAGTAGGTTGTCTCTCCCTACTGCCCTTCCTACCAAAATCTTTAAAACTAGTACGGATGTTTATATCATTATCATCAGTATCCTTCTTCTTTTTCTTCTGACCCTCTTGGATATCTTGCCACACCTCATCAACAGTCTTCTTGGTTAGATCCGTGGCCAGCGAAAGGCTCAATTGTCTAGGCAGAGAGGAAGCTGAAGCAAGTTGAGTGAGTTCGGTGTGGTCAAAGGGGCCATTGTTCATACCTTGATTAGCTTCAGCAGTCCAAACACTCTTAAGAAGTTCATCAAGATTCATACTACTTAGAGGCTTCCCTAAATCCCCTAATTGCTGCTGAACTTCATCCAAAGTAAGGTTATATAAAGACCCTTGTCTTGCCAATCCATCCAACATAGGTTTTTGTGTACCACCATTTGAACCCATCGTCTGAATCCCCATAACCCGAACCCGAACCCCCCAACTATCTACTAGAAATCAGAACCCCAAATGCTAATAATTAACAAAGAAACTTTAACTCCTAATCTTGCAATGTTAAAAGCGTAAGAAAACCACCCAATTCACAGGATTCGTGAAGCGAATGCTAATCAAAGTTGCATGATGTCCATTTCTAATGTTTAGAGCAACAAATTGGATAGAATCACGGGAAACACATGGAAAGAGATGAAGAACTCACTTGAAACCCAAAACCCAGAAAGAGAAGAAATGTGGTTCAGATTTTAGCTGCTGCTTCTTCTTCTTCCATGCAGCAGCAGCAGCAGCAGCAGCAGCTGGAGGAAGCAACAGCACAGCAGCAGATGGCCAACAAAAAGAATACAAAATCAGTTACTGAAATGTAATATTAAATTTGGTTTGGTTAATCCGACGTAATCGAAGCATTTACACATTCCATATTCTCTTGTTTTCAGGTGGATGAGTCAATTACAGAACCATCCTTGGCTATAGGTCTGGTGGGTCTGGTCTGGTCGACCCTTTCTTGAAAAACAACCCACAATAACCTTTTATCTTTTCAATTATTTTAGGAAACAAGTTTTTGTGAAAATACCCAACCCAAATGTAAATGTAAATGTTATGTAAGAAAACCATTATTCTTATAATTTCTTTATTTGCTTCTTATCTTAGAACTTCATTTTTATATGTTTTATCGATTTGTTTAGGTCAGTAAGTCGTCTTGTCATTCGAAGTCTATTTTGGAGACGTTTAAAAATTGTTTAAAGTCACGTCGTATATACGACTAACGGGCCATTAGTTATTTATTGATACGGTTTTCTTTTTCCTTTTTTGAGAGGGATAAAAGAGGTTTATGTTATTTTTAACTTTTATTTAAGTTGTTAATTTAACGAGTTGAACATGATTTGCTAATACAAAATAATAGAACCCCATCGGAGAATGCTCTTTGGAGGAAATTTTGAAGATTTCTTTAAAAATAAAATAAAATAAAAATCTTACAAAATTTAACATTAATTATACCAGTGCAGTGCTTATGTCAAAAGTTACACAAGTACAAGGTTTGGCCTGTGAAAGACTTATCGTTCAAAGTAAACAAGACGAGATTTGATGACGCAGAAAGTGGGTAAAAACCAGAGGATAGAAGAGGTATGGACGTCAAACAGGTACGTCGTCCTTAATAACAAATATTACAAGGAGTGGTCGCGAGAAACCACAACGTGTCGTGTGAAAACTAAAAAAATAACAGTAAAATGTCTTGGATCGTCTTGCAATTTGTTCATTCATGCAGTAGCTCGAGAGCATTCAATGATTAGATTGTATTTTCCTGCAATCCGTTGTCCTTTGTTTGAATGGTCTTTATCTTTTTATAGTATCTTGAGTATGGATGATGACAGTTGTACACAAATGATGTTAATGAATCAATGATTGTATCATAATGATGAAGTTACTCTGGTGTCCGGTGCATTGATGAGATAGATCGTCATTGATTGTGTGTTATGACCTGCATTAGATAACGACTTATAGCCCTCAACCCCAAACTCTAACAAGAGCAATGACCATTCTTCATCCAACTGTCTTCAATCCATCTTTTCATTCGAAACAATTCAAACATGCTCAAAAACAAGCTTCAACATTAACCGTACCAAGCTACAAATAAACAAATCACAAGATGTAAATGAAGATACTTGAAGGTTCACATATTAAACACTAAACAGGGAAGAATGTAAAATAGCCATTGTGTATTGCTTGTTAGGAAGCTTCTTCCTAATACAAATGCAGATTTAAACACACCCTCTACATAAATAAGATGACTCTTGAGGTTGACCAGATGTACATGAGGGATGTTCTATTTCTAAAGTAAAATAACAACAAAAACGTCACATTTTTTATGATTATTGATCCCCGTAAATAGGAACAAAGACCATACTATACCCAACACAAAACTAGTGCAAGGCAAGTACAATTTTCAAAAACAAGATTAGAGCTAACACCGAGAAATAGCTAGTCAATGATGTAGGTATATATATATATATATATATATATATATATCTTCTAAAAGCAAGAAGAAGAAAGGTAAAACAAAGAAGCAATATCAGCTAGATCCGATGGTAATTGTGAATTAGTGATAGAAGAAAATATTTTACCAGGAGGACATTCTTTCCAAGAGTTTATTCATGACATGGCTGAACATCAAACAAGCCTTGAATGATGAGGATCCTAATATAGAACATAAGTGAAAAGGGCTTGATAGTAAGCGAGGTTGCAAGGTGTCTCTATGTAGATATCGTAATTGTTCCATATTTCTATTCCAAATATTTGAAATTTACGATTATAGTTCACGAAAGAGTAAATATATAACACAAACCAAACCCAGTAAATCCTAACAAATGTAGCGTCTTGAGAGGTGAGATGTACACAGACCTATCATTTACCCAAATACTAGAACGATTGTTTTGTGACTACCTCCAGCCGACTTTTGCAAGAATGAGAGGGAACAGGTCGAAAGAACAAAGAGTAGCACATAATAATCATAGAACAACAGAAAGTAAGGGAAAGTAACGCGTAGGCGATACAAAAAGTTAGGTAAGACAAAACACACATAAAAAGAGAGAAAACATATAACATCCTATCAATGTTACCATCAAGCTCCCCATATTAAAAGAAGTTATTACTACCCACATGATTTCTCTATACAAAGATATGGTGGTGTGTAAACTACCAGCGTGATTTCTCTATACAAAGATATAGTGGTGTGTTTGATGATAGATTTGTTAGATACTACTCTCCCTGCCCCGCCCCAAACTAAATCTTCATTTTGCATCAAGTGTCCAGCAATTTCTTCTCTTAAACTGAGTTATATATGTTTGGTAAGTTGTACTCCCATGTAATTGAACCTCTTTAGCCTCATCATCGACCATGTGTTCATCAGTTTGATCATATTTAGAAAATAATTAACTTATCACTTAAACCCTCATTCATTATAAAGTTAAACTGCAAAACATGCAATGACGTCCTTTGAACCTCAAATGAAAACGGTGTCATTCTCTTCAAGATTGGAAAACATGCTTTCTAGACATGATAAACATGTTCAATGACAAGTTCTAAGTTTTACATGAGAATGGTTAAACTTTTCATATTGTTCACCATACGTCAACGATAAAAAATCTCAAAACCAGTATCTAACATTATGGTACACTGACATAAAGCATTAGTATACGCAACATCACAAAGATAATATTTATCTGAAAACGGTAAATAAAATAGTTAATAATGATATAGGATGTATTTAAGGCACCAAACGCACCCTACATTAAATATAATAGTCAAAATAAATTTACTACGAAAAATCAAACAAATATAATTGTATTATTATTTACCTTAAATATTTGTCATAATATTATCCCCAGGTATGTCTGGATTTGAATTAATGTAGGAACTATAATCTCTTTAGAAAACTCGATGATTTGATCCAAACACTTCATGAAATTTTTAATGAATTATTTGTGTCGAGTGTTGGAACCTCGCTTCACCACTACATAATGTTGATGTGACCTATAGTCATCTTCTCTTTGATGCATATATTTTTTGTTGAGAATTGTGATACGAAACAAGGATATGCAAAACAGAAAGTTCTAGAGTTTCAGGCACGGGCGTGCTTAACATTACTTAGCAAAACAGAAAGTTTTGGGTGTTCTGACACGGCCGTACTTTATGATCAAGCACGAGAGGGCGTAGTGTTAATTCGTGAAAAGAAACACAGCCGCAGCTTATAATCAAGCACAGCCGTATACGATGACAATTATGTTTTTCCTAGTTTTTAGCATTGGAATCAAATTGGAATTTCACCTACGGATTAGTATAAATACCCCCTTGAGTTCCATCAGGTATAAAACGAAATTGAGAGCTTAGAAGCCTTAGTTTGAGTTTAGAAAATATTGAGAGAGATTATACACAATTTAGTGTTTCAGATTGTAATTTTTGTTTGGTGTTTAGGTGTTCTTTATCAATAAAAGTTCACCCTCTTCCCTGTCGACGTACATCACCATTCACCATGCCGGTGGTGAAACCACGTAAATCTTTTGTGTTTCTTGTGTTTTTGCAATTCTTTGGTTGATTGTTCGTTGTGCTTTCAATCCTACTTTGTTTTCTACATTAGTTGTTGGTTGACATCACATACTTGATTATCGTCGAATAAAGTTTATTACTTTATTTGGTTTTGGGACCTTTGTGGTGTTCAAAACCCCAACAATTGGTATTAGAGGTTCGATTTTGATCATTGGCACTCAATGGAACATATTCAAGCACTACTTGAAGCAATGTGATGATTATTCCAAAGAAGACGAAAACTCAGGCAAGTTCATCAAACACTTCTTCTAGCTATATTATAGGTTTGTATGTAGCCTCCGGATCCACGTTTAAGATTGAGAGGTGGAATGGGACAGAGACTTTCGAAAGTGGCAGTAGAAGATGAAAGCGTAACTTCGAAGAAAACAGGTGCATCTTGTTGTCTATGAACTAGACGAACTCACCTCTGATGTATCATCATAAAAATTGGAAGAGATGGAAGAATGGGTGAGAAAGTGATTTCAAAGATAGGCTCGGAGACAACTGCACAAGCTTTAGTACAAGCTCGAAGAGCTCTAGGAGGTCAAGGGTTCAAACCTCACTAAAGGTGAGGAGGGTGTGTGAGATTATTTGTTCTATTTGCCATATATAAATATTATATAATTCAAAAAGAAGAGCTCTGCCTCACAAACTCTCACTAATAGTCTAAGCTAAGACCGACAAGGAAGGATCATCTTCATCCATTATCGTGAATGATTTTAGTGATGCTCTAATCGCATCAATTGAGAGTGTGACTATCAAATGACAAATGGCTGTTGGATTTTGGGACTTCCTTCCACATGACTCTATATAAGGAGCTTTTCTCGTCACTTAAAGAAAAAGAAGAAAGCAATATCCTCATGGCAAACAAAGCGGTGTGCAAAAGCTTGGGCATCGGTACCATCAAGATGAGATGTTTGATGGCATTATCCGAACTATTTCGGATGTAAAGTATGTTCCCTTCATGACCAAATTTCTCATCTCTCTTGATCAATTGGCAAAGCTTGGAAGCAAGATTAGTATGCAAGGCAAAGTGGATCCAAGTGGGGTAGTCTTCGAAAAAACTTGGACTAAGTTGGCAATAGAGCTTTGCAAAGTGTGTTACATGAAGGCATGAAGCTCACACAAAAACAACTAAAAAATCAATTCGATTATTTAAAATTCAAATACTCGAGATGGGTGTACTTGATAAATAAAACATGCAACATTAATGATCCAAAAACAAATACATTCAACCTATCAAATCAAGAATCGAAAGATGTTTACAAGGTTAGTTTTTAATCATAATTTTTTTGAATAACAATAGTAATGAGTATTATATGAAATAATATTTTTAAATTTAGATGAAGGATCATCACAAAGCAAAACTCTTAAGGACCTCACCCTTGCTATTCCTTAAAATGTGTATCATTTTACTCGATGGGACATATACCGCCGGTGCCCGTGTTTATGCCCCTAACTTAATCCATGAGAGGTTTGAGGTTCCATCATCATTTAGTTCTTATATCCAAACACTTCAACTTGAGGATAATAAAGATGATGATGATGAATAGCATACATTTGTCGAAGGTTCTCATAGACCACATGTCGAAGAACCAAGTGCAAATCCTTCAAATGTCGTTCTCAAGCTGATTCTAGACCAAAGAAGAAGAGTAAAACCTCGATCAACTTTAATGAACTGGCTGAAGATACGTCTGTTGCACTTAAATTGCTTGTTTTACAACAGCAAACTTCAACTATGGATGCTTGTGTTGACGGTTGAATATGTAGGATCCTCTTTATAGTGCAGCCTCTGGATATTCTTGGTTACTCAAGGTTATTAAGAGAGACATAGCTGAAGATGTCTTCAAACCCTGTTAACTAAAACAATAGATTTCGAGGATGCAAGAAGATTAAGATTCACGGAGTAGTGTTCAATATTTTAACAAGTAGTTATTTGATATCCTATGTATTTGATCAAGTTGTTTGGTTGAGTTTGGTATTTGAACATGTTGTTTGGTTATGTGTTTGGTATTTGACTATTTCGAACAAGTGGTTTGGTTATTTCATATGCTTTTATTTAGCTTCTAACAGGTTCAACATGGATGATAATCAGAAACTTATACTTATCATTATTATTTGGTTGCATCAATTCTACTTTCGATCAAGACACTTGAAGATAAGAAGAGAGAACACATTTGCAATGACCGGACATCATTTTACAGATGAGTTACTTTCAGGTAATAGTAGACAATGCAATGACATGTTACGAATGCCACATAATGTATTTAGTCGACTATGTGAGCACTTTAAAGCAAAAGGTTTGTTAATGGATAGCAAACATATATAGGCCGAAGAGAATATGTTATTTTCTGGATGATTATACGTCACAATCGTTATGTAGTGGTGAAACGCACATTCCAACACTCTTAACACAAACAATTATATAATATTTTTACAAAGTATTGGATATAATGATCGGGTTTGCTAAAGAAATTATAGTTCCTTCATCATTCAATCCTAATCATGACATCCTAATAGGAGGTGAGGATGAATATTAAGGTTTAACAATAATACAATAATAGTTGTATGATTTTTCGAACTAAATTTATTTTGACTACTAGCTTTAATCTAGTGTGATTGGTGTCTTGAAGGGATCTTCAATACATGTTATCTTTCTTATGAACAATATTTGTATAGAGGAAAAAAAAGAGGCGAATGTTATCAAAATCTTTTGGCAGTTTGCAACTTCAACATCGTTTATACTTTTGTTGTTGCCCAATGGAAAGGGTTGCACATGATTCTAGAGTGTTGCCCAAAGCTATATGAAATGTAAAAAATGGTTTTCCATTTCTTCCTCTTGGTATATTTACGATTTATAAGTAATATATTTACTATATTGATATATTAACTATTTTATTTATTGTTTTCAGATAAATCTTATTTTTTTGTTGCTATGTATATGAATACTCAATTTATGGCATTGTACCGTAAAGTTAAATATTAGCTTTGAGGATTTCATCGTAGACGAGCTGAATAAGTGTGAAAAGTCTAACCATTCACATACAAAACCTAGAAATGTCATTGAACATGCTTGTGATGTTTGAAGCACATTTTCCAAATCTTCAAGAGAATGCCCTGTTTTCACTAGAAGTTCAAAAAGGCATTATTGTAGTTTTCGCGATTTGCAACTTTACATAAAATGAGGGTTTAAGTGATAAGTTATTTTCCAAATATGATCCAACCAAGACCAAAGAGGTTCAATCACATGGGAGTACACTTGACCAAGCATATATGGCTAGTTTAAGAGAAGAATTGCAGGAAAATTATTGCAATATGAAGATTCATTTGAGTCGTTACGAGACTGCGTTCATATTTTCTACGTGTATGGACCTGGTCCTGCGGAAAGGAAAAAGAAGTTCACGCTCTTCCTAAGGGAGGATTCAATTGATATACTTTAATAGGATTTCTATGTGATTAAAATGGACAATGGTATATTTAGGCTAAAACGGATTACTAGTTTTACGAGTAAAACTATAATTCTTTTTATATAAATTTAACATAATAATATTTTGATGGGTAAAATACATAATTACACACATTTAGTAGTTTACAAAAACAAACTATCTCGTCGATTCTACTTTTCAACTTCAACACCACATTTTATTAGTAAGAAGTGAAATAGGGTTCTAGCACCTCTTAGAAAACAAACAGCGCCTAAGAGGTTTTAAGCTCTTATCACAAAAAAAAAAAATAACTCTAACCTCTTATTCGGTATAAGTAAACATAAATGGTGAATAAGAGGTATTTTCCAAAAAATTAAAACAGCACCAAGAAGAGTCAGCAATCTCTACTCTAAAAATGACATAATTATACACCTAGAACAACAAAAGAAGCATAGTCATCTGCACAATATTTTCTACAACTATGTCTAAGGCCAGTGGACCATAGAAAAGTAATTAAGAGTATAGAATATAACAAAGGTTCAGTCAACAAAAGCTAAGAAGAAAAAAGAAAAGAAAAGAAAAATCATAAACACATAGACTTCCAATAGCTCATTGAGATTGTCCATAGATGATGAAACTAAATGAGTAATTAAAGACCAATGTGATGACGAATCTCCCTAAGATGGTTTAGAAACAAGTACCTTTCTTTGATTTACACACTTTATTTCATTGTTCCGGTGGAGTTGGCTCATCAAACCATCTTGGCGGATCAAATCCTGACCCACCTGAAACGAAAAAAATAGGCAATAGCATTATGATTTATGCATTTCATCCTACATGCATAGACATGTTATGCAACAAGTTACTATACTGTAGTTATTTCCATAAATTATCTTTAATAGATACGAAATAAACATCCAAGCAACCAAACAATATGCAAATGGTTTTCCAAAAATATAAATTACCCAAGGGATTGCAACGACAAAGCCGCCATGTGGTTAAGATTGATCCCTTAATAACACCATACTTCTTGTAAGCAGTCATGGAGTACTCACTACAAGTTGGGACATACCGACAACTATTTGGCATTAATGGTGAGATTTCCCCTGTTTAGATAACCAAAAGAAAGTCCACATGATTTATATAATTAATATTAACAATCATGTATAATGACTTTCAAGAATCGGCCGATGGCAATATTTGACTAAGCAAACTAAAAGTTCATCTTGTTTATAACCGAGTAACAAAGTCGGAGAAACTCACTTTTGTAGAACCTCAGCATGGACAACGCCACTTTGACTCCAAAATCTTCTTTGTTGTCCCCTATTAAAAATCACAAATTAATTGCATTTTAAAAGTACTCACTTGTTCAAACTTTTATCACACCCTTTGTCCCATTAAACGAAAAACCGACTATAAGGATGCGTCTTTGGTATGCGAACAGGACAAGATTAGCGAGACTAAGGTAGGTGGGTGAATGAATTGTCGAAGGTTTTAGAATTTTAATTTGACATGGGTATTGAATAATTTACCTATCTTACCTCATCTCCCAGGTTTTTTTTCCACCTATTTTGATGTCCCACTTGGTCCCGTCTTATCAAGTCACACCAAACATGAAACAACAAGGTTTTTGTTTTGTCTCATCCTCTCCCACGTACCAAATGCACCTAAACATCTAAATGACCCCTTTAACAATGACAAGTTGACAACACTTCTAAAAGTCAATATGATCAATAGGTTGAAATATAACGAGTAAATGGGTATCTTCCACTTGAAAGTTTTGAACAAGAAAAAAGATCAAAATCAATATGGACCATCCAAGATAGAGATTGTTATTGTTGCATTTTTAGTAGAAATTTTCCATATGGACTTCAAAGGGTTTTATTGCCACTTCTACTTGTTATTCAGTGTTTGTTTTATTTTTGGCTAAAATGCAGGGATCCTGCCGATTAATTTTTGAAAATTAGGGATCATTTACTAACACAAACCAGTGAAGCACCTACCAGGTAAAAGTCACCACCCTCCAGGGTAAGATTCCCGATCATCAAAATAGCATTGTAAATGGGTCTCTTACCCAGTAGACGCCCGTCTCTTACCCGATTAACGTCGCTTACCCATTGAGGTGCGGAAAGTGTTTAGTCACTGGTAAAAGGGGGGCAAGTGTTTCATAAACAACCAAGTGTCTTCACCTCTATAAATCAAACATTTATCTCCTCCTGGAATTATGATAATTGCGCATATAGACAAAGCATAAACCCATTCACAAACAAATCTCACCTTGTGTCCTGCTCTGGTCGGATTCTTTTCCCAATTCACCCACAATTGGAAACTGCAAGCAGCTGCTTCTTCGAAATCTCTTCAATACGGAAAAAAAAAACATATAAGTGAATGTGAACCACAAATACAAAATGGAGTTTTGGGGATCAAACCTTGGGGGCTGTAACAGTCCGGCACAATTACTCGATCACTAAAAATTGAATTCAATCAACAAACCGTCAAAAACCTCCATAAAATACATACTTTTTTGTCTTTGCAAACTGGATTTGTCCAAATTGAACTTGAACCCCCAAATATGGATCACCAATTTTGCCCAACTACAAAGGGCTAATTTAGAAATAGAAGAGCAAAGAGTATTGAGAGGGAATTTTACCGAACGCAAACGGACGGGAAACCGAGGCGGAGAACGTGGCGTTTTGTGATGAATTGAGAATTTGGGAGAACTTGTGCGATTAGGGTTTATGATGGGTGCGAAAGAGATTGGATGAACATTAAGGGAGCAAACAAGCGCCATTTTTGACTCCTGTGAAGTCTCCAACACGGATGAGTAGCCGGTAGATATAAGTGAGTTGACAGGCCTATAAATTAGCCGGAATCTGATGAGTTATTTTGAGGATGCTGCTATTTTACTATGAGAGTATATGTTTTTTAACCCAATTTTAAACTACTTCATTTCCAAACATATCAAATCCAATTAGACCCAAGTTGTGTGTTCCTTTGATTTCCAGATCAAGCCATAACTGAACAGCCATAACCAAACCAAGAATAGAGCCGATACCAACTTCAAAGAAAATTTTAGCAAGAAAGGAATAAACCATATTACGTTTCTATGCGATTCTTTTGTATTGTTCGGACCGACTTCTCTAAACTTAACTACCTGTGAACACTCACACATCAACCATGCACGAAAATGTCTTTGTTGATATATTTTTTTCACCCTGGTATTCGATATTTGACCAACTAAATTTACAAGATCCAAAACTATCCTCACATACGATCAAATAGGGCAAAACCATTATGGAACAGTTACACCTTTCACAAGGAGTCGGTTTCACTTAGGGGTCATTTAGGTTAGAGCTGATCATTTACGGATTTGGACTCGACCTAACCTAATTTTCTTGTTCACAGACCTAATATGGCAAACTCAAGTCATTTTTTACAAGCTTGAAAACTTGCTCATATCCGTCTCATAAATGGGCCGGGCTTGCCTATAGGCTAACATAGCCTAAAAATCTTTTTATACTTTTAAGAAAACAAAACTTATATAAATCACAAATTATATAAAATAATCCCAATTGTATAACAATTTTTAATAAATACATAACAATGTACATAATTTTGAAAAAAATTGTTTGCAAAATACGGAGCATTCGGTAAAACAAATGACCAAAATGAGATGATAAATAATTGATCAATTGAGGTAGTTATGGTTTCTTTTTAGATTCAATGAGTGTTACTATTATGAGTCATAATTAAGTGAGAGTCGATAAGTATCAATAATTTTCGATTTTAATTATGATAAAAATATTAACGGATTTTTTTTTCTAACGTCCATGCTTCACCCATTAATTTTAACAAGTTAGTCCAGGTCCATTATTTAAAAATTGTAATCCAAGTCCGTGTTTCTAATGTGCCAGGCAGGACGTGTCTAGTAAGTTGTTTCACCCGTAAACAAGTCTAATTTAAATATATGATCTTTAAATAAGTTTTTAGTTAATGTAACACAAAAAAATGCTATATACGAGCCCCTTGGTTTGAAACCATGGGATACACTTTTCAAAATGAACAAGTTTATATAGAAGAGGCCTTTACATGAACTCCATGGACGAATGAGATATTTAGGGGCAGTTTATTAAACACTTACTTGGTAAGTGTTTACCGAATAAATTTTCTTATCGGATGAACATGAGAAGGGCCAAAAATCTTACCGGGTAAGAGCGATGAGAATGATGGAGAGTTTTACCCGGTAAGTGAAAATGACGACTCTTACCCAGGTAAGCGCTTACTCATACCCAGGTAAGCGCTTACTCAGTAAATTGTTGCATTAGATATGTTTTGATGTACTAAAATCTTGCGCATTAAAATAAATCATAGTATTGACTCTTATCGGTAAACACTTACCGGGTAAGCAATTGGGTAAACGACCCCTTAGTTAAATTAGTTTTCAAGTAGGTATATGAATCTTGCTAAAAATAAATTGATTAAGAGTCTTAATGAGTGTAATGGGACTGAGGTTATTTAGGGATACGAGCTTAACTGAGTTTTTAATTAAATTCATGATTTTCTAACTTATTAAATAAAAAATGGTTTTATACTCATGAGAAGGTCCTAGATTTATGTTGAAAGTCAAGTTATTTTCAAACTGTTTTTTTCATATATGAAAAAACTCTCCTAAAAAAACCCTCTTAATCTATACAGTCAGAGCTTAATGGGAAACAATTCAAAATCTTGAAAAAGCACTTCATAAAATCTTGAAAAAACCCTCTTATATACGGTGATAAACAATTTCTTTTGAAGTATGTAATATTTATATACGATAAATACAATGAATAAACTTACAAATCCTCCTCACCTTTGGTGAGGTTTGAACCCTTGACTTCTGTAAGGCAGAATGCTCCAATATTGCTAGATCAAAGACCCTTTGATAAACACCGTGTCCGTAAAATCTTGAAAGAACACTATAAGGTTGATCGAGAACAATGTTTTTCACATAAAGTTATTAACTAATTAGTCGACTAACATTCTAGTGTTTTTTCAGGATTTTATGAATACTGAGTATTTACAATCAGAGAACATTATTTAATTAATTATTTTTTATAGGTGATGCTCAAGGGACGCTTACCGATACAAACTCAGCAAGTGTTTATCGCATAAAAGTAATAATCCTCACATTCCCAGATAAGATTTTCAGTCATAAAAATAGTATAATATAAGTGTCTCTTACCCGATAAGCACCATCTATGTAAAAGTTACCAGTCTCACTTAAGATACTGAGTTAGCATAATGACCAGTAAAATCATTAGTAAAGCCATCATCTCTCACTAAGCGTCAATTACCAGTAAGAAGTAAAAAGCAATAAGTGTTCAAGTGGTTTTTTTTATTAACCTGGATATCCAACCCACTATGCCAACCAATTAATCCCGGAACGACCACCTACTTTACAAATAACACGGAGTCACCGCATTTGAACTTCCGTGGCCACAAGGGGATTTTTATTCCTCCTTGGATTTGAACCTGGGACCTCCTGGTACTTTGACCTTTGGAGTCAAGCTCAAACCAATCAGACACCACCCTTGGGGTTAGTGTTCAAAGTGTTTAGTACCCGGTAAAAGTAAAAGAAGTGGTGTGATTATACATATGCTACAAAGTTGTCTCATGAGTTTTGAGTTTTAAAGACCAATAAATCATATAATTAATACAAATTTAACTCTAAGAAGTTTGAACATCCGTATACGTATACGAGGGTACTTTCGACTATAATGCAGGCATCGTCAATCGGGTTCTAATCCGCTTTAATCTGATCCCCGTGCAACTTATTATCATCGGTTGATGCTTTTTCCGAGATGAGCTGCCCGACCTTCACATACTTCTCCTCGAACTTGGCTTCCCAGTCTTCGAGAACTTCAAGGTCGGATGCACCAAGACCGTCAATGTTCCCAGTAAGGTCTGAAGGCTCAAATGACAGCAGAGCTAACGCTCGGCTAGCATCTCGACCAGCAAATAACGCGTAAGGACCACCAGGACCGTAGAACATCCTGAGACATTTTTTAAGATATCAATTAGAATTAGATATCGCGTTTTCAAATTTAGGGAGGCAAGAGATAATCACTACACGGATTTCACATATCTCACACATCCCGATTTATCAATTACATGGGAGCTGTTTACCAACACAAATAGGGTAAATGCTAACGTGAGTAAGAGTATGGTCTGACCAAGTGCACCATCTTCTTTCCCGTTTCAAGGAAATGAAGACACGGCCCATCGGAGTAACATTTGTACCGCCATTGATGATTTATATTAAATATAATGAAGTGCAATTAAAATGTCAACACCTTAAGCATATTTAGGTTCCACCACCTCATCCTTAAGGGCATACCCAATGAGCAATCCATTTTTTACACCAAACCCTTCTTTTATGCTCTCTCACTATGTTTTGCACCATTTTTATGTTATGAATAGCGAAACACCAACGCTCCAGCCTAAACAACATAGCATAGCAGGTGTGATAGCTATCCTGTAGAATTTCGCCTTCAGTTTTAGCGAGAATTTCTTGTGCCGAAAAAGTACATACCAAATAGAGAAATATTACCACTAACTGAAATTAGGCAAGGGACGCACCTATGCAAAAGTGTTCTAATGAGCAACCATCAAAGCGTTGCAAATTATGCTGGGTAGTTACAAGATGCGTAAGTTAAAAGACTTGTGGAGCGGATATTGACCACAAACTCTTGTGAGAACATGTAAAAGAACAAATAAGAACATACGCATTTTAGGATTGGATACCTTATATTGGTAAAACTATCCGTTTTATGTGGCTAACTCTCATATTTTAGATGAACGTATACGTGTACTCAGCAAGTTCGGCTGATAATGCTAAGCATGAGTGTTTAGTACAATTCTATTGGAGGAGTGTTACCTTCACTACCAAGTATCGGAAAATTGGGCATCAATGTCAACAGTTGGAAAAACTAGGAGTATGTATATGCATGAGCACAAAAAGAAGCAACTTAAGGAAGGAGAAGATTAGTGAGTTGTGATGCTTTCTAGCAACAAGGATGAGAGAAGATGTTAGACTTAATAATCACGGTTCATAAATAATGAAATCGTTTATTAATAATTTGGGTTTAATAGACAGGAAGGGGTGGGTTCTAGTGAGAAGGAGAGTTGAGTTGAGAAGCGTAGGAAGGGATCTCCACCCTTGGATGCACATTAGGATGAGATGCACCTAGATGCACGGGATCAATCCCCATATCAAGCACGATTCATGGGTGAGTTTGAGATTAAAAGTGATCAAGGGTCCAGATCCTTCTTATGCTTCTCAACTTAACTCTCTTTCTCACAAGATCCTTCGCCTAGATAAGAAATGGTTTATTCCCTGCAAATAGAAGATTAACCAAATCATTAGGCATTAAAAAAGTTATTGATTGATTATTAGTTCTTCAAGGGTTTTGGAAGAGATGGCCAACCCAATTATTTCGCTTTATCATCATTTTAATTCCATAAAAACTATCGGATCCTTTCTAATTAGTATCAAAGCAGTTTCTGATATCAACAGCAGCCCAAAAAGTGGTACAACGAGCAGGCAGGGAAAATTGGAGGTGGAGATTGGAAAGAACCAATCAACTATGATGGAAAGATTTGCTCGGATGGACGAGAAGATTCAGGCGCCATTTTCTTTCATTTATGAGTTAAAGTGCAAGTTACTAACGGCCGACATTGAAGAAGTTGATTTGATTCAGCTACTTTTTTGTTCTTTTATTTGTTTCTGAAGCTAGAAAGACTGGTTGGTAGATGATGTTGGTGTTTTGTTCCTTCATTTTGATACAATGACTTAAAGATTATAACTTATCATAGGACATAAATCGCATTCGCGTTCACTTAAGACTCTTGTTTTGCTGAACCATTTGAATATAAATCATTTCATCACTGGTTACTCTTTTCAATTCTTAAAAGAGCATAGTTGGTCCTATTGAACTTTTCGAAACATCCTCTAATCGTTTGCACCATTTCTTGCACCAAAATGGAGAAAAATTTGGTGTAAACAATGATTCTACCTCCAACCTATTTCACCATTTTGGTGCTAAGTTGGAGATAGCCCTAACCAAAAGTTAAACCTACAGAGAATCCCCAATATTTTCCTTTTTCGCCAGTTATCAATTTCGCCCATTACAAAATTATTGATCCTAGTTGCTTTTCCACAAGATCCATTCAAAATTTGAATTTTTGAAACGAGTACAAAGATATATAGAATTCGATTCAGAAGTATCGTTGTCACCTGGAGCGAGAAACATCATAGATCTTTCCTTTAATCGCCATTAATAAGGGTTTGTTAGGATCAGAACCATTGTAAGGTCTCAATTCCTCCTCCGTAATGCTTCCGACTTGAACTGGTTCACGAAGTGAAATGTTGTGCTCACGTTTGACAGCCACGTAGTCATCTGCTGCCACGAACATGGTGGTGACTACTTTATAAGCCACCACCATCATCGCCGATATCGTGAAGAACGCCGCCGGTGATAGCCCCGTGTATTGATTGATCGCATCCGTTACTGCTGTATACAACGCCATCTGATTTCCACTAGAGAATTATTTTGACTTCTGTCGTAGATACCCCTTTTAATGAATTGACTAGCAGCGATGGAAGATCCCAACCATCCAAAGGACATTGTGACCTCCACCTACCTCACATGTCATATGCACGCACGATGACGTCAGTCCCTACGTACGTTCCTTATTGGAAACTAGTTATTCACGACACCTATTGCGCAATAACGATAAATTTTTAAAAAAATTTATTGAAATTAATTAAATGAGTTGATCATATTTATATATTAAACTAATAAAAATCAATATTATCTTTGATATATGAATTTTATTTATTATTATTGGTTGTTTTTTTAATATTATATATATATATATATAATTATTAGGTCTTATATATCAATCTTTTATTATATCAAACTTTGTGATTGGTTCAAAATCATAAAAAATGTGAAAATATTGATTATAATCATGAGGTGTATTAAGAGAATTATTTTACCATAATACATATCAATTTATCTTTCACATATATTCTCATAAAATATTTATATTCACCAACCAATAATTGTGTTGTTATTTACATTGATATAATTGTTGAATATTTTTGCAATTTTCTTATATTAGTTCATGATATACTCATTTGCAACATTGGTCAAGAACCTCATTGAAACCACTTTTTTCGTACATGCGATTGTAAAAATTGAAAATAATAGCTAGTATTATGATCATTCTAGATATATAAGAGTTTGATTGATTTGTTATTTTATCATTTGACTTGTTCAAGCTTTTAAGATTTGTTTTAGACAGTTTATAGTTTGGTTTATTTGTAAAAAAATCCTGAAAATAAAAGTTTTAATAAAATTATGTAAAATAAAGATATGTATTATATTGAATTTCATATTTTAAATATAGGGATGAAAAAGTCTTTTACATATATCAAATATTTAAAAAAATCAAAAATTTAAGAAAAAAATGGGTTTTTAATGTTTAGAGGATGACACCTCATTAGGTTTGGTTTCTTCTTTAAGAATTAAAAATATTAGAAAATAATTTCCAGGCTCAATGCTAAAAAAAAAACACAATAGACTGATCAACATCAACAAAAACTCATATCATATTTGTTTTCATGAATGACGATTCAAATCAACAAAAAAAAACAAATCACATCCACAAAGCTGAATAAAGAAGAAGAATTGGGAGATTAAAAGAGATTATTATGCTAAACAATGTTACCTTATTTCATCAAAGATTCATATGTCACTCTTATCCACAAAAAAAAAAATCATATGCCTACATAATTCCAACTTTAATGTGAATTCTCCGACTAAAAGGCGAAATACTATACTTACATAAGCAAAAACTCATACTACGATTAGTCTTATTGAATGACGCCTCAAATCAACAAAAATGCAAATCACCCCCCACAAAATTATAACTGAATAGAGAGAAAGAATTGAGAGATTTTTTTTTTCTTAAACAATGTTACACTATTTCTTCAAGGATTCATATGTTACTTTACCACACACAAAAACTCTATATGCATACATAATTCCAACTTTAATGTGAATATCTTCGACTAAAAAAAGAAATATTATACTTACATAAGCAAAAACTCATACTATGATTTGTCTTATTGAATGACACCTCAAATCAACAAAAATGCAAATTGCATCCACAAATTTATAACTGAATAGAGAGGAAGAATTGAGAGATTATCATAGAGGTGTACCACAAAATTATATATGAATAGAGAGGAAGAATTGAGAGATTAATAGAGAAATTATCATAGAGGTGTACCACAAAATTATACATGAATAGAGAGGAAGAATTGAGAGATTAATAGAGATGTTATCATAGAGATGTACCACAAAATTATACATGAATAAAGATGAAGAATTGAGAGATTATTATAGAGGTGTACCATGATGAAAAATTATAATCGAATAGAAAGAAATAATGAGAGTTAAAAGAGTACTTATTAGAGGGAACATGAATAAGTTGAAACAACCTAATTAAAGGATCTAAAATGTGAATATGAAACATAAAAAACAAATATTAAAGTAGGAGAAGCTTGAGAAAATGAGAAAAAAAGATAAATCATTTTCTTGTTTTGAGAAGAAGCCATGTCATTGCATGTGGTTTCTTCTTTAATATATATATATATATATATATATATATATATATATATATAGATTAATGTTGCTATGAGTAGGGCCGTAAACGAACCAAACGAACACGAACGAAAGCTTGTTCATGTTCGTTCGTTTAACTGAACTGAACAAACGAGCGAATACAAACGGTAAACGAACGAAGATCTTTGTGTTCATGTTCGTTCGTTTAGAAATTAGGTGTGTTTGTGTTAGTTTGTTAACATGTTAAGTGAACGTAAACGAACGGGCAGAACGAACGAGCTGAACAAATATTATTTGAATTCAAAGTAAATAAATAAAAGATTATATATTAAATTTAATATATAAACGAACATAAACGAATGAATATAAACGAATGTAAAATGAACGAACGTTCACGAACATAAATGAACGAACGAGATTATGTTCATGTTCGTTCGTTTAACTAAATGAACAAAAATATTTGTTCATGTCTATTGATTTATTAAATAAACGAACTTCCCGCCGAATGGTTTGCTAAACGTTCAGTTCGTTTACAGCGCTAGTTGTGAGGGTCGTCGGAAAGTAAAAAAGAAAAAAAAAAATAGGGGAGTGCTTATGGTAACTTGGCGTGTTGAATTTTTGGAAATTGTAAAATCTTTAAAATCCAAAAAACATCAAATTAATTTAATAATATATTATATTTAATTATTATTATTATCTTTACTATATTATAAAACATTTGATAAAAACTCTTAAAAACAATTTTTCATCCATTAAAAACTATTTATTGATGCATATGTGATAACTAGATCTTAGTTATCATTTGAGATAATTAATACATGATTATTTGCTATATGATTACGTGAAAACATAATAAATTATTATATTTAAATCAAGTGAGTATGTGTATTTTATACATAGAAAATATATGCATAGTATGAATGCATGCATGGCATATGAATTAATCATGTGTGAATATGTAATTATATGCATGCATGAAAAGTGATTGTGATTTATGTATACATGAAATAATATGTATGCATATGTTTGAATGCATGCATAAGGTGATGCATGTGACACCCAAGAAAAATATAATCATGATAATAATAATGATTTAAACCAAAAAAAATGTATATATATATATATAACGAGAGACGGAATTTAGAATGAAAGATTTCGCCTACAAAAGGTAGTGGCACAACGTTTACAATATAACTACTGAGAAGGTAAATAACAACCTACTAATCTAGATTATTCTAAATCTAGATTAAAGACGGGTGTTTTTATCAATCTCCAAAAATGACGTATCAACAAAACGCAACGCACATAAGTAACAAATGTTATAACTACAAAAGAGCCTTCCACGAACTAACGCTCCTCTCAACCCTTTTGAGCCCCGCCGCTAAAGGAACCTGATAAGCAAGCCATATCAAGAAGAAGTGTTAGACTTACGCATAGTGAGTTCAAATAAGGGAAAAATATAAGGGTTCAATGAACTATTATGAAAAGATATTTATATAAATGCATGAAGAAAAACTCAACATTATAAAAAGAGGAGTATGGAAAGCTAGTAGCTCAGGATGGAGCTAAACATCCGTAGATGACGGGGGAGACCCGATTTGCCGCTGATTATGACGGAACACAAAGTAAGTCATAGTTCAGCGTTACAGAGCATCACTTGTAGGTTTAATACCATTGACAACAACCTRACCAGTCATGAAGTCGATCGTGATCTTAAGCTCTTTACCTCGGAAATTACATAATAATCACAATGCCTATYTCYGAGCGGGAGTGAGAAAGATGATTTGGAATTTACATAATAATCACAATGCCTAAGTCCAACTTACACCATCTTTCACACAACTACAACCAAAGTGACGCTTCGAGTTTTAAGACACTATACATTCTAGAAAGAAACGCATGAATAGGTACTATGAGCGTAAAAGCACTTATCTAATGGTAAAGTTCATATGCGCGTCTCCTCTTAAGTGAAAGTATCCTTCGTTTACAAGAGTAGAGCCCCAATTTACGGCATGAAGCTTTTAGGACCCAAATTGACAATAACATTAAAAGTTATCCTATCAAATAGATCAAATCATTTGCCCGAACTCGATTTTTCCTTAATAAAGAAATTTCCCAAATTCATACTTTTGATCCAACCAAAACCATTTCACTTAAGCGAGTAAATATARTAAACTAAGGCATAGGGTAGTAAGGTATTCTATTTCAATAGCATATGGATTTATATACATATAGGTTAAGGTGAACTCACTTGAAGGATTTATGAGAAATTCCAATCCCTCGGATTTTACCRGTAGACGGTAGGAATTTCGACTGCTGAGAGGATGAAACAGCACCAACAGCAGGTGCTGTTCGGCGGCCAGGGAGGAAAGCAGGYGGCAGCAGGTAGGACTCGATACTGCAGCTAAAGTGTTGCGGTTTGGCTTGGTGTAGGCTGCCAAGATCACGGCATGGTGAAACAGCCACACCTGCTGTTTGGCGTGGTACGGCTGAGAAGTGCAGGCGGTCAAGAACAGGTCTAGGGACAGCAGCAGTGCGGGTGGATGAGCGGGAACAGTCGCGAGTGAAGCACCGAACTGCCGTGTGCAGAAGCACGGTTCACAGCAGCTGCGTGCAGGAGCTCAGGACAGTGTCTATGTGGTGATCGGGTGATGGCACAGCAGCGTGCAGCAGCACGAAAACAGCCCCTGTGCAGATGTGAAGAAACAGCCCATGTGCAGACGTAAAGAACAACCCCTGTGCAGACGTGAAGAAGCAGCCTCTGTGCAGCCGTGAAGAAACAGCCCCTGTGCAGGCCGTGAAGAAACAGCCCCTGTGCCGTGCTTCCGGGATCAACAACAGCGAGTAAGGTGGGGGAAACAGCTCATTCTCTTCTAGATCTTCTCAAGCAAAAGGCTCCTTTTCTAAGAAAATGACAGCCGGCTAGGATCAGAAGC